TATTTTTTTCAGGCGGGCCAAGGTCCTGATCCGTCCATCAGAGTGGCTAGTCCTAATCCAGATGGCAAGGCTTCTAAGTGAGTAGCGCTTTTATAATATTACAAGACTTAAGGGGTAGGCGATGTTTGTCAGGTGATCCCACTGGTGTAAAGTGCATATATATATAGTGGTAAACCATAGTTTTTTTTTTTATATCATAAGATGGCAAACGAGCGAGCCGCCACCTGAAATCGCTGAAATAGCGAAGCGACCGTTGTCCATAGACATACGCAATGCATATGCGGAGAAGATGCACAGAAAGAAATTATTTAACTAGAGTTATTTCACTAAAAACCAAAATTAGCTCTAACCATAGACATTTGAAATATGATGTAAGATTGTTGAGCCTATGCCTACACTATCCGATCAGCAAAGCTTGTTACAAATATTTCCTTTTTCTTTTGTAATTGTGATGTTTGCTCTATTATGTCTTTATATTTATATTGTGATTTTTTTTAATTTTGTTGTAATGATGCAAAGGATTACGAGCATCGGTGGCTCAGGGGTCAAGCACTTGACTTGCAATCTGTAGGTACTGTGGTCGAATCCCGCCATGTACCAATGTGTTTTCCGATTTACATATGTACATTTATCCGATGTTACGGTGAAGGAAAACATCGTGATGGTGCACATATCTGAGAAGAAATTCAAAAGATATGTGTGAAGTCACTGCATTTGGTCAGCGTGGTTGACTATGGCCTAATCACCCTTAACTTTGGGTAGGCTCCGAGTCCCTCGGGATGTATAGTGAGCTGATGAAGATGATGCAAAGGATTAATTTTTTTTTTTATCTTGAGTAGACAGAAAGGATGTACAGAAACTTATTTCCCCTTACTATATCTTGCAAAATCCATTTCCAATTATTTCCTTATAAAAAATCAATAAGTAGGGTAAACAACATAGGTTTAGTCCACCGGCACACATATTTAGTATTACATATTAAATAGTCAGATTACAGTTTTAAAATGTAAATTTTGTCTATAAGATCATCAGCGGCGTTGCCATTGGCATCAGGTGAGAGTGGTGATGCATGCCGGGAGGTGTTAGCTGGGTGTGCAGCGTTGTGTGCGCAGCTCGGTCTGCGTCGGTCCTTCAGTGCGGCTGATGTGTGTCAGGTGCATGCGTCGCCACCACCCAGAAGGTAAAACCCCTTTTAAATTATAGTACTACTAGTCTACACATAAAGGTCATCACACACTGTCTATTTTAATTTTTATACATACTCTAGGTTACTCTTTCCTTCCTGAGATTAAAATATCTTTATAAAACATGTTGTTATATCTTTAAATCATGGGAGGGATGAAGAGCCTGCTTTAACATCTTCGCACGAATTGTCCCTGCTCGCCCGGTGAAATACCACGACCACACAGAAGACAGGCGTCAAGTGGAAGCTATTCCAACTACAGTCTGATGAGTGTGCGTCCCGGAGGTCTAATTTAGTCCTCTTTCTCTTCCCACCCTTTTTCTTATAAGGAAAGTACGGGAAGTGGAAGTGGACTTTCCGGACGGGAGGATGCATGGAAAGGGAAAATATTTTCTTTCTGTGCATCCTCTCCTCCGTCGATTAAAGGTAGGCAACGCATATGCAATTGCGTATGTCTATGGGCAACGGTCACTTCGCTATTTAAGCGATTTCAGGTGACCGCTCGCTTGTTTACCACCTTGTGATTAAAAAAAAAAGTGTTTTATACAGGGATTTGGATGTTAGAAACCAATGATAAGTCAATAATTAGACCTTGAATCACGCTGGAACACTGGTGACATGTTTAACTTAATGTAAGCACTTGATTAGCTATCTGCAGCTTTTGGGTTCGAATCTCGCTATGTACCAATGTGTATTACCGAATTTCAATTTGATGTTCTTACGGTGAAGAAAAACATTGTGATGCTGCACATATCTGTGAAGTGACTGCACTGGGTCAGCATTGACCATGGCCTCCTAATTTGGGGTAGACTCCAAGATCCTCAGTGGACGTGTAGTGAGCTGATGAGTAAATATTCACAGCGCAACTTCTGAAGTCGGTTTATGCGCTGCACTGGAGGCTCTCACTATGAACGCTGCATCTCGCTCCTGCAGCACTTGGGTTGCCGGTATGTGCATAACAAATTTAATTCCTTTCCCATTTAATACGACTTTATTCGCAAATTGTCACCAAAAGAGCTATAATTTTGTCCCTTGCGTCTATATTTAGCTATTTAACTAGATGTTGCCCGCGACTCCGTCATTAAAAAAACTTAACTTTAGACTTACCTTTAAAAAAACATCCATCTAAACATTCGCATTTATAATATTAGTAAGATTGTATAGACAGTGTTAATTTAACTGAAATTGATATAGGACTTCTTGATTTAATTTAAATGCTTCAATATATAAAATGGTATGTATTCATGTTATGTCACTTCAGTGGGAGGGTCTCAGCTGCCGTCTCCGCAGCGAGCTCACCCATCTCACCTGACACCGCGCCCGCAACCCAGTGATAATAAAAAAGTAAATTCACCACCTTAAATTACAGGTTTAGGCAGAAATGGCTAAAATGATATCGCCCTGGATGACATTTCTACATCTTTTATTATCATACTAGCTATCGCACGCGACTCCGTATGTGTTCCAGGCTTTCTATTAAAATTTCATCGAAATCCGTTCAGTTGTTCCGGAGATATCTTCTAACAAACATACATCTAAATATTCGCATTTATAATATTAGTAAGATTTTCAGGGGAAGTTAACAATGTTATGTACACTCACGGAAATCCGCGGTGTTTCACTTACAGAAAAAATGCATTGTTTCCAAAGAGACAAACTTTGCTTAATCTTACAAATACTTCTACCTTTTATGTACAGACATATTTAAAAATTGCGTTCTATTGGATATTGTTATATGTCGTCTCAATGTCCACAAATAATTCAAACTGTAACTTTTAAAGTGGAACACCGTCAGATTCCCTGATTGTACATACGTAATTGGCTTGTGGCTTGTAGTAGTCGGGTAAATGTAACAGTTAACGACACCTCTCTCGCTCACATATTCATACAAACACATGTTTCAGGTTCGTCAGAACTATATAAAGAAGCGTCTACTGACCACTTACAGGGCGTTAGAAAGAATGTCTCAGTCTGAATTCAATTTGGACAGGCTCGAGGTAAGAAACGACTCATCAACTAATCACCATAAAACATTGTTGAGCGAGTGGACTGTATGATGTTATAAAAGGCTGGTTGGTTGCTGATTGTAATTTGAAAGATGATGTACAAAATAGACAAAAATGTTTGATGTGTCGACGCGCGGAGTGCTGAAGTGCAACTGAAGGTCGCGGTGTGAGGGGGGTGAAAGGGACCCTCGCGCTGCTTCCCTGCCGGTGCAGCATTATCTTGTGGTGCCATGAATATTTATAACCTCGTAATAAAGTGTTTGAAA